TTTGAAAAGACCAATGCGACACTGGCCGCATCAGCAGAAAGGTGATCAGACGTACCTGGTCCTTTTCAAGTGTGAGGATCTGATACCCGGTCGTTCGGCTACATATTAGTTTTCCACTACTATCAAAAGAGGCCAGGCGTAACCTAGGATTAAGACATAAAACAAGATTTAAAGAAAAAAAACACTCATTTTCTAAGGCCAAAATTAGTTAAAAGAGCCTTCCTTCACGATAATAATTTGCTTTTGGATCTTTCATCTAGGCAACTTTACAAAGTCGTTTCAAACTACAAACGGATTCTTTTCAGATGTCTAAGCCTGTGCTGTTCTATTGGCTGAGATAAGAAGTAACTGACGAACACGTGGCTCTTTTATATGAGTTTATTTATCTCCCAAATCCTTATTTGTACAGATACATAAAAACGATTCCCATTTCTTTTTCAACCTGTTAAACATATACATTAACGACAAAAAGGACTTATTCTGACGGAAAGGAAAATGAACAGGACTGTGTTCAAAATAGCTATAGACACAAGAAGCCAACATGTGTAAATCATGACAAATGTACACCTCGATTTTGAAAAAAATAAGTTCTATTTTTACATTAATGCTTTTATTATCCAGCTTCTACATTAGACTGTCCAACCTTATTTACATTGGCTATGGAATTTCTATAGCATGTGTGACAAAGGCACTTGATGCAGAGGGTAGAAAGTCCTGAGCTCAAGTAGGAAGTAGGATTCCAAACACAATCTGAACATAAATAATTCCAGAGGTCAGAGAATATGAAAATACTTAAAGTGTAGTATCTGCTGCATAAATAATTCACGATTAACGATGTCGTAGAGAACATCAGTGTACAAATGGAAAGAGCATTGATCTTCACTGGCTATTCAAGTGATACCTTTAACTTTCTTTTAGCCAAATAAAAGATCATTTTCAGATGTCTAACTGAGGCTCACGAACACTTGACAGGGCTGAAGTTTAAGTGAAAATTTAAATTTGTATTTGGTTGCAGGGAAATGACCTACGGCAACTTTCTGTTGGTGCTACGTCAGAAAGCATGAACTGACATCTTTGGAACATACTTGACAGATACTTCTGGGCTTGTCCAGGGTCTTCATGGCTGCATAGAAAGGTAACGAGGACAAGGACAGGCTTCTGTTTTGTCTCTTATAGTCCGTAAGGCCTTGGTCATTTTAGTCACCTTGAACGTGCTGGTCAGTGGGGCTGGGATTGGAAAGCTGGCCCAGCCGTCTGCGAAGCGCACGGCGTTCCAGCTGAGGAGCTCGTCAGCTTGCGGGACCCTCTGGGGGAGCCCCGGCTTCAGCTTTCTTTTCTGGTGATATGTATAGGAAGTTGCAGCAGATATACAAGGGGAAGACCAGAAGCCTGCTGTCCAAATTCATGACCACTTGTTCCTATAAAAGAAAGTGTGCCTTTAGTGACAACTCGATAGGAATATCACAAAAGAAAAAATGTAAAAAAGAACCAACTGTCAAGCTAAGTGAACATTGTGACTAAGCGTTCACGTTCGGAGTCTGGGAGCCGCGGCTCAAACCTCACAACTTGGGCAGTCACCGGCCTTGTGAACTGTAGCCTCCACGCTGTGACTTGGGACAGTAAACACACACCCACCTCAGAGGATGACCTTACCAGAGGCAAGGCGTGCAGATGGTTTACTAAAGCCAGCCGGCTCCTTGTCCCCTTGTTATTACTTGCTTATTCTGCTACGGCCGCTTCTAGCATCTACCTACATATTTAATGAACAGACACGAGTCTTCAGAAAGGGACACACTTCTCACTGGACTTCAGTTTTGATGGCCCTTTCGTCGAGCAAGCCTTGGGGATGAGGCCATTACAATCATCGCTGCTGGCCTGGTGCCAACTTTGCCTAGGGCTTCCCACTCTGACTTACCGCTGGGAAAGTAAAACACGTTTTCATGGGAAAGCACGTTCAGGCTTAGCTACATCAATGCACACGGACGGGAACTGACATCGGAGAGGCACAATGTCACTGTCCCTGGTGCCACAGACCTCTGATCCCGTAACCACATACCCTTTTATGAGCATCTGGTCAGCTGAGAAGATCCCCGGAGGAAAAGTAGCAGCAGTGATGTGAGAATCCCTACTTTCCCTCGATTTGGATACATTCCCTGCAGAGTTATGCACTCCTACGTGCATCCTGTGTTTGGGAGAACACGTTGTTAATCGCTGTTTAAATCTAGAGCTTGGATTTTTTGCTGAGTCTTGGGTGCCTGCAGTGACAAGGGACTCAAACAAGGACTAGGCTGTCTGAGTGGCTGAGATAGCCCCACGGGACACAGCTGGAGGTGGGAGCGCAGCAAGATAGCTCTGGATAAAGGAGAAGGATCCAAAGGCCACGCAGACACGGACCCAGTTGTGGCTGTCGTTAGGCGCGATCGCGTTCACTGAGTTGGAGCCGGCCAATGGAGCAAAGAATGAAACAGGGCCGCTCCGGCGCCATCCTCACCACTGCCGTTAGTGTGAGCCATTGTGGCAGCCACCTTGCCGAGAACCCTACCGAGGCCTGTCATTCTGAAAGCCTATTTTGCTCAAGAATAATGCTCAGGAACTCTGGAGTCATACTGTGCCTCCCTCTTGGTGTTTGCTGCCGATGGAAATACACTTAGGTGCACAGCGTTTCAAGCAATTCGGGTGATAACTTTTTTTTTTAAGAAATCATTTTATGGGGGCTCTTACAACAATCCATCCATCCACTCATTGTGTCAAGCACACTTGTACATATGTTGCCATCATCATAGTTTTTTCTACTTGAGCTCTTAGTAGTATCAGCTCATTTCCCACCCCCTCTCCACCCGCCCTCCCTCATGAATCCTTGATAATTTATAAATTATTATTTTTTCATGTCTTATACTGACCA